CACGGTGCTCAACTATAAAGTCGAAGTCCTGCACGTCTATCACCCACCGTGCTAACTTCTCACGGGGGTCCTTTAGACTCAGCAACCATTTCAACGACATGTGGTCCGTGACTACAGTAAACTGTTCGCCGTGTAGGTAGTGCCGCCATTTGAGCAATGCATGGATTACTGCCAAGCATTCTCGTTCGGTCGGGGCGTAGTTGCGTTCTGACTTCTTCAGAGTCCGGCTGGTAAACGATACTGGGCGCCACTTGCCGTCCTTCTCTTGCTGCAGTAGCACCCCACCCAGCCCGTAAGCACTAGCGTCAGTCATGACTTGCTTGGGAGCTCCGCGCACTGGCGCAGCCAGAATCTCCGGGTCGCACAACGATTCCTTCAATTCCTCCCAGGCCTTCGTCTGTACTGCTCCCCATCGCTCCTTCCAATCCGGTATCACCAGCCGTTGTCCATGCCGACGCTTCTTAGAGAACCCTGTGCCCTTCAGTACTTCATACAGTGGCGCAGCGGTTTCCGCGAAGTGGTCTACGAAATCAGCAAAGTAGTTCACCAGCCCGAGGAAGCGCATCAGCTCGTCTCCTGACTGAGGCATCTCCAAGCGTCGGATAGCCTCGACGTGCTTATCGGATGGTCGTAGTCCACGTTCATCAACAACGTGTCCCAGTATCTCCGCACTACGCACACCGAATTCGCACTTGGACAGCTTGAGACGTACGCCAGCCTCGTACAGTATATCCAGTATTGAAGCTAAGGATTCCAGATGCTCATCTTCATTAGCGGTCCCGATGCTGGTGTCATCCATGAACGCCAGCACATCTTGTCCCTTACGTGCTCCCAGAATCAGGTTGATGATTCTCTGAAACGTTCCGGGGGAGTTCTTCAATCCTTGCGGGAGCCGCGTGAACTGTAGTAGACCGAGTACAGTACGTATCGCTGTGCATGCTCGTGAGTCTGGATGAAGTTCCACCTGATAGAACCCGTCCTTTAGATCGAATACAGAGAACACCTTCTTAGTAGCGAGCCAGTCCAGTGTATCTCTTACGTTCTCCATGGGGTATGAGTCCGTTACAGTAAGATCATTGAGACGTCGGAAGTCCGATGTCACGCGTATCCCCCCATCTTTCTTGCGGACGAATACATTGTTCGCCGCCCAGGGGGACACTGCTGGTTCCAGTACACCCATCTTGATGAGCTTGTGCATTGCAGCACGCTCCACCTCCTCTTCCTTTGGCGACCGGCGACGAATGGGCTCGCAGACAGGCTTGGCGTCGGGTTTCAGAGCAATGACATGCTGCGTTCCCGCAATCCTGCCCAGCCCTTTGAATATGTCTCGGCGCTTCCACAGTAGCTTCCGTAGGTGATTGCGCTTCGCGGGACTAGAAGAGAATGCCCTGAAATCCATATCCTTGAGCGCTTGATCGACATCTGCATCCTCGATCACGGCGCGCACAGATTCCCCAGACTCATCCCTTCCCCGGTTGACGCGACTGCCCACCGGTCCCTGTACCCGTTTGTCACCCCACTTTACAGAAGCACAGTCCTGCTCCAAGTCCAGGTGCAGTCCCATCTTCCGCCAGAAACGCCTCCCGATCAACATCTTATCTGGTAGCGACGACATGACGCGTACCTCTTCACTGCACTGTAGTCCCCAGAAACTGAACTCCAATCTCCCAGTTCCAATCACCCCAATCTCCCGTCCGTCTGCTGCACAGGCGGATCCCCCGTGGCCCGTACTCGCCCGCCGTGGGCCCGGTACCACTCATGGTCCACCCAAATTGACAATGCTGCTGTGTCAATGGGCACCATTACCTCCTCGCCAAACACCCCCACCTTGACGGCTACGTCGTCTTCCGACAACTTCTCCCGCCACTGCGGCTCCCGGCAAGCGCACACCGACTCGCGCTTGCCCCTCCCGACCGTCTCCGCGGCCGAGTCTACTTCCGTACCGGGGGAGTTGCACCCCCCAGCCCGTTTCCCTGCTCTGGACGAGACGCCGGTCGGGCGGTGTACTCCTTGCCCTTGAGGGCCTTCTTCTTGTCGCAGAACCGGGCAATGTGCCCTAGCTGTAGACAGAAATGGCACTTTACGTGCGCGAAACGGCTTTCATTGCTGGCATTGCTGCCCTCGGGTTGCTGCGGGGCGCCGTGGCCCGTGTGCTCCTTGACCTCGCGAATAGACTCACGGTGCAAATTTTGCTGCGCCGTGGACAGCCGGGAAACCGATGAGACTACAGTATCGAAATCTCCCATGACAAGGACGGCCTGGTCTTGCAGCTTCTGCGGTAAGCCGGCCTTGAACCTGTTGAGCAGCACGTCGCCCTCGATGGGCGTGGGCAGTGCCATGGACGCGGAGCGGAGACGCTCGGCATACTGTGCCACGGACTCCTTCTTCTCACTCCAGCGCATCTCGAAGAACTTATCCTGTAGCGCGCTGCGGTGCGTCTTGTTGCACAGACGGGTCTCCAACAGGCCCCACAACTCCGCAGCCGACGCCTCCGTGTGCATGCTCGCGACCTCCTCGTAGACCCGACGGTCGTCCTTTTCGAAAGCATACGGGAGCAGCCGACGTTCGGACGATTCCATGATGGGGTAATCCTTGAGCAGCCTTTCCCATGTACGCTTGGAGTCGAAGAATGAACCGTCGCCAATCTTCTTACAACGCGCGTGCTCCAATGCGCTCTTGTAGATCTTGTAGGCGACCGAGGTAGGGTAGACTTCATACTCTGCTACTTTCAGGGAGCGCTCTACAGGACGATGGGCGCGACTACGAGCAGCTGCTGACCTTGCTACTGGCTGTGGAGCGGACTTGCTACGCGGCGCGCGTTCCCCCTCCGACAGCTCCGAGTGCCAGTACTCCCCATCACTCCGGTTACCATCCTCCGTCGGTTGATAGGGCACCTGGGCCTTCTGAGCAGAGGGGCCCTGCGGCTGACTTGCTTCCCATTCCACCTTCCTCAACCGCTCCTGTAACTGCCCCATGCTGTCCTCCTGCGCTATGGAACGCGCCGTCACCTCTCTCAGAGCGTTGGTCATATCGGCTAAGACGCGCTCGAGGTGGGTTTCTGCCGCAGTCGGTGCTGGGTCCGGTCCTGAGAGCACCTGGCTTGACTTGACAGTCTTCTCCGTCGTCTCGGCCTGCCCTGAACCTGGCTCTGCCGGCGACGGCTCGAGAACGGGCTGAACAGTGTCCGTCTGGGGGATGTCGTACTCCTCCCCTGACGATGACACACCCGTCTCGCTTGCGTCTGAGGGACCCGCGGCGTTTCCGCCGTTGTCCGGGTTGCTCCTCGTACCACGACGCATATGTCTTCACGTACCCTGTACGTACCTTGCTAGCTCGTCCGGTGGCGAAACAGCCACGCGCGGTAAAAACGTTTTTATGTCACGTCTTACAGACGTGAGCGCCTTGACGGTAGACCCGGGAGCCAGACAGGCGACCCAGGTTGGCGACAGCAGGCAGCTGTCTACAGTGACAAACAGCCACAACAGAAACAACACCGTTGACAGTACACAATTGATTTACTTCTCGATAGTTGGATGCCGGGCCCCATTGGACCGTGGGCCCGGTGCCTTAAATAGACACCATCTACCAGTTACAGTATACGAACAGTACAGTACCTTCTTGCATTTGCTATCAAATGCAAGCAAGAGGGCGGGCTAATAAATGCATATCATCATTATTTGAATAGTGCGCCATAATTCACACGGCGCTCTACCGACCCTTCCCATCCGTGGCCCTGCAGGTGCAACAGTGCCCTTCGACGCTCACACTCGCTGAACAACGCCACCCCCAACCAGAGAGGACATGAGGCAGAAAGACTACCAAATTGGCGTTGCTCGACGTCGTTTGAAAAGCCGTCGCCTTGCGTTCTACGCAGCTCTACCTACCGATGTTGTTCCTCTTGTCAAGTACAGGGCATACAGAAAATTCCAACATTCTCGGCGAGATTATCACAAAATACAAGTGAGGTCTTTGCAGATTTCGTCTGCTACCTTCAACCTTAATGCGTAGAGCGAGCTAGACGCAATGACTCAATTTCGGTTTCTCCCAAAGGAAATTTGTTCTGTTGCGAACATAATGGGGTGGCACGGCGGCTTGACAACTCGGTCTCGGTATCACTGTGACACAGTGTCCGCATGCTGTATTGTCCTAAGTAAGCTTGCAACACCTTGTCGTTGGTATGATTTAGAGACCCGATTCGGTATGAGGGCATCAAAAATTAGTGAGGTGTTTTGGGAAGTCGTCGAAGGCTTCGTACAAGACCAGGGTCATATCATTACCAAAATGAGAACTGATCTCATAGCAGAGAGGGCGATAGATTGGTCAAACGCAATACATGAAAAAGGAGCTCCTCTGAATAGTTGCATCGGATTTATTGACTGCACTAAGATTGAGATATGTCGTCCAGGAGGTGAAGGTGCTATGCAACGAAGCTGCTCCTCAGGTCATAAGCGTATGCACTGTTTAGTGTATCAAACCATAACCACACCTGATGGGCTGATCCTACACATGTATGGTCCAGAGGAGGGACTTCGTCACGATCTTACACTGCTGAGGAACAGTGGTATCGAAAACAGTTTGCAGGAGTCTATGGTTTTGGATAATAGGCAGTTCTCAATTTATGGAGATGCAGCATATGTTATGCGCCCCTGGCTTCAGACTGCTTTCCCACGTTTGACGGCGACACCAGCCCAGCAATTCTACAATAAAGCTATGAGTGCGGTCCGGGAGGCGGTGGAGTGGTCTTACAAAGACATAAAGCAGATGTGGTCATCGCAAGACTTTCAAAGAAATTTGAGAGTCAGAAAGTCACCTATTGGTTTGCTTTACATTTGTGGAGCCCTTCTGTGCAATATTAAGTGCTGTTTCGGCAATGGAGGGCAAGTGTCAGCATATTTCGATTGTAAAGCACCTTCGATTGAGCGATATTTTCAACGTCCTAATCATGCTTAGATGTTTTGTATCAACAGAAAACAGTGAGAAGTAAACTCGTTTAGGGATTGCTAATCGTTAAGCTTTCTACAAAGTGCTGTGAGAACGCTGACTAGACTACTGCGTTCTTTAATGGCCTCTTTTCGTTTCTCAATATCTATTTCCGCTTTGCGTTCCTCGACCCCAATTTTTCGTTCCTCAATTAGTATTTTGCGTTCTTCAGCTTTGGCAAGACGTTCAGAGGCTTCTTGTTGTCGTTGCTCGCGCTTTTGCTCCAGTTCTAGACGTCTAGATTCTAAATCCAGTCTTTTCTTTTCTGCTTCCCTGCGTGCCTCCATGTCTTGTATCATGAGTACTTTTTCCTCTCCGTCTGAGTCACACAATACGCGGCGACGTTTACTGGTATTTTTCCTGCGTTCGGCGTTTGCTGATATTTCCTCATCGTCTACTGCCCCCTCGCCAGCTGAGTCCAATCCACGAGAGCTGCCGGAGTTTGTATGCCGCTGCAACGCCTGTGCGCGAATTAATCTCCCCGCCTCCATTAACCTACGCTCTTTGGCATTTCTGTCTTCTTTCTCTATGCGTTTGCTTTCTTCATGCTCATCAATTTCGAGCAACAGATCGTCCAAAAGTACCTCTTTCTCCCCCCTAACCTCAATAATTCCTGATGCATTCAAGTTGTTTTTGTTCTTTCGTCGGCGATCTGCAATGAGTTTTTTGAACCTGTCTCTCACAGATTTCCATGTTAACGATCCCATTCCTTCACGATTGGTCCCGGCGGAAGCTTCTGACATCATTTCAACTGTCTCTTGAAACCTGGCAGTAGTCTCGCCATGGTTTGCGAGGTGTGCACTGGTTGTGCTAACGGCTTTTAGGATTAGTAGATCACACGCTGGACTATACGAAAAGCGTCGATTGCGCGAGCACGTTCGGGGAGGAGCAGCCTGAATTACGGTTTCCGCTGGCGATGTGTTGACCGACGATTGATGTGGTGGGTGAACAGGCAGAGGATCAGAGGGTAAAGGTAGAGCTGAGGCGGAGAAAACGGAGTTGGGATCGGGAGGAAATTGTGGGGAGACGGCATTGTTGGCGTTGCCGAATGGACGGATCGGGACCCTTTGAGCTTGCACGGGAGGATTTGCGGTTCGTCGGGAGAAGGGGCCAGGATGCTGAATGGCTTCGCGGGTGGGAGTTTCCCGTACGGAGGAAGTGCTCGGGAGGTAGGAAGAGGCTGCCGCGTCAAGCTCGCCGGCGGCAGGTGATTGCAGTCGCTCTGGTGGTGCAGAAGCAGAGCCAAATTCTGATTCAGTAGCAGGTTTTGGGGATAAGGGGAGAAAATCCGACATGCCCTGGGTCTGTGGGACGTCAGAATGGACGGTGGGTGAAAGGGCTGTCCTTGTAGTTGTGTTCCAGATTTGGCGGGGATCTGCAGATTCGTCACCATTTGCTTTTCGCAAGATCGGCTCTCTGGACGAAAAATAACATGGCTTCGGAGGGCGTTTTCGTAAGAGATGGCATCGTGGACTACGTGTAATGAAAATTGCCTTCCTTGCCACGAAATATCGAACTGCGTAAGCTCTCTAATAATGAATTATTAGTTCTTCTGGCCCCGACCTGTCGCTGCGCTGACAACAGGACGTTTTTTATGTGTCTACAGTATGGTCCACACATGTTGACATGTGACATCAGCCGATGGGAGGCACGGGACTCTTGCCGGTACAGTACAGTAGCTGGTAGCGTCAGCATGTGGACCCTGGACCACCCATTACGATCTCACATCCGGGAGCCCCCTCTTCGCATTCCATCGCAGCATGACATAGCCCCCGGCCGCGCTCCCTCGCCCTTCTAAACTTGCGTCATCTATGATCCACCGTTTGCGGATAATACTGTACTGCTTGCTGCCAGTGTTTTTATGTTTTTCGGAGTCGCCCAGTGACCTTACATTGCCTGGAGGCAGCGTCTTCAAATGACAACACGTCCAGCCTGCTTTGCAATGGGCATCGGGGCCATGCCGTTGTCGTTGCCATCGAAAATGTTTGCTGCAGGAAATGGCAACCGTGCCCGCTGAGTTTGCACATGCTTCTAGACTCCGACTCCGCTCTGTGGTACAGGTCTGTTGAGCCTCCTTTTCTCGAGTCCGATCCGAGGTGGAATTTGAAACGACTCTAAATCCACTTCCGCTTGTGAGCACATGACAGGCAATGTCGTGGCTATATGGCTAAGCAGAGACTTGAAGCAGGGCATAACGGTTACATAGTACTTCTGTACTGTACCAAGGGTACCGTATTCTCGACCCGCTGGAAGCAGGCGTTCAGCGCTGCTTTGTATGGTTCTTCCAGAAGGAAATGCATGCGCGTTCTCTTCATCTGATTAGTATTCTCTCTGATTTTCCATGATTCCATAGTGATGGAAACTGAAAGTGGACTCAATGCATTGCTGAAAGCATTTGTAACTACGGCTCTATTGACTATGTGCATCTACATTAAATTGTTCTGCGTATCTTCGAACCGCTTCTATTTGTGCAGAACGACCTTTTGCTTTGGTGGACGAAGGCCATCCTGTCGAAAGAATGAATCCAAGTGTCAGTCTGACAACCCCCTGGCCAAGAAGAGTCCTGGAAAGAGACGCTTACTGCTATCCCGAACTCTTCTCCTGTGACTCAAAATTGACCTCATATGAATCGATTTACCTTCTATTTGGGAGTGTTGCCGCTGCAACGCTTGCAAGTCAGGCACCAGACGTGTGACACAGTGCAATTTTTGTGTTTTCGTGATGTCCCCCTCTCTCAGATCTACATTTCAAACTTCAAAACAACCTGTAATGTACACAACAGTACAATACAAAATCATCAGCAATTTCCAAACTATATGATTAAGACGCTGTTGTTTCTACTGCTATCTCACTGACATACTGCATCTCAACTTCGGTGTGCGCGCTTACCTTCTGTGTTTTGATTGTCAACGAACTGATATTTCCGCATATTTTGTCTTCATCTGGAAACTCGACATGATTTTGTCGTAAAGCTTCTCCAACTTAAAATGACTCGCAGTTTTCAGACATATGTTCGCAACTTTATCAACATATGGATTCTTCCACATTTGCGTTATGCAATCAGCAAATACATTGATCTCAATGCTCTCAAGAGCTGCAAGCTCCACTATGTCTGCAAAAGAGAGATGGCGGAGGGGAGCAAGCTAAAAAGGATTATTATTTTGTGATTTTGGCGTTGTGACATTGGGCCAAATTGCAGACATGACCCGTCTTCCTATCTTGGACCCCCTACTTTCCATCTATTGCATGACAAAGTTACTGTAAAAGATACTTTCCATAACCTCGAGGTTATCTATTGGCCAACAAAGGCCCCTTCTCTCGCTTTTTCCAAGGACAAACCATAGTCCTTGTTGCCAACTTGTGCCTTTTGAAGCAGCGTTCTTCATAAATAAAAAAAGGAGGCGCAGCATGAACTCCCGCAGTTTCGAATACAGCCCTGGCGTCGGAGAGTATTCAAGCACTTGCAACAGATTGACAGATCTCATGCTTAACATCGTTCAATCCTCATCTTCATGCGCACTAACGGAACTGCTGTCTCTTTTCGTTGCCACAAACAAACGCCAACAACATCTCTAACCTTCGCGTGTTTCTCGCCGAAGTTGAATATTGTCAAAGAGATAAAATCTTCAAGAAACTGACCTCAAACGATGCCCTTGTTTGAACAGGTCATCGGTAACAACGACAACCCATATCTCGTTGTGGCTTACGACAACGAAAACCATTTTGTCAACGCCACGAATTCCACGGATGTGAACCCATTCCTGAGCGATGCTTTTATGGTGGAAAAGCTAGTTTCCGGTCCATTTCGAAGGGATTTGACCGAAAACAGAGACGACATCCTTATCGCCTTCCTCTCTCTCCTGATTTTACTCATCATCGAGAGCACAGCTTCTGCATTTCTTCTTCGGACAAACAAAGGAAGGGTTGGGGTCTTCGGCTTTTCAGTCAAGTACGTCATCGAACTCATTCAAGACTTCAACGTACACCATCTTTTTCACAAGAACACCAATTCACAAAACCACCTCAAACTCAATACGAGGCTTCTGATATTCGCTTTTTCCATCCTCTCATTCGTCTTTTGTGTAGAAGTGGCAATCATCTTCCTCACAAACCCTGAGCTGAGGCCCGTTTCAAACGACATGGCTAGCTTTCGAATTGTACAACCTGTCCTGGTCTCGACATCTCATCTTTACTTCCACATCCGCACCTCAGCGAACAGACCTTGCATGTCAGCCAATTTGGTGGGTGTTCGTCAGGGTTCAACAAGAATCAGCACTTGCGTCACAATGCTCACCGAAAATACAACCATGGAGTTTATGGACATCGAATACAACGAATCCGTCAAAGTTGAAATCACTACGGACATCCATGACTATGGAGCCGAGCACGAAGTGAGGATCGATGATTTGAGCGCAAATTATTCTGCAAGGGCATACTTCACCCTGCATGACGGGAAGATGCGTTTGATGAAGAGCATTTCGCAATCGGAGCACGAGAAGAAACAGGTTGAGGCTGTCCACAAACAATTCGTAGGTGCTATGTTCACTGCTGTGATGAGAGAGAAGAAAGTGAAAAACGGCACTGATGTCTTGGATGAAAGCAATAAAATCAAGTTCAGTTCAAATGACATGGAGGGTCAACACATCGAGGTTCTGCAATCGAAGCAAAAGACCCACACTGTCAAGACAAGACGATACAAGTCCACCATGACAGGAGTAATGCCTACTGGCTTGATTGCGCTTCATGTTGCCCATCATGTCTTCCAGGGAAGCGCTGCCATAACCCTAGGCGGGGGGGACACTGAAGACCTTTTCCTAAATGAGGGACTGCAGTCTCGGAAAAGCATCGTTTGGGCTGAACCAGTGCGAAAACTAAACTGGTTGTCCTTGCTGCTCATTTGTTGGACTTGTCTTTTACTGCAAATTCCGCTTTACCTTCTTCTGAGGCCAGCATCAACCGCATACATTGCCGGACTATGGGCGAAGCATAAGGTTGGGGCAGAAATGGAGCGTTCGCCGATCGAAGTGGGCAAAAACGAAAGAAAGAGATTTCGGCTTTACCCGAAACGCAACAACAATGGATATTCATATGGATCAGAAAGCAGATGGGCCGATATTGATACTCCCGAACACTACTGAAGAACGTATCGCTCCCGAAGAAGAGCAGTTATAGAATATGATATCAAAGTTGTACATATACATTGAGAGATTCCTCATCACCACAAATGGTACCTTCGCTACCCCAGCATCGCACAAGAACAGTATATTCTTCATATGTGTTGGGACTTTAAGGATGATACTGAAAACAAAAACACGAGCACATAGAATCATGCTGCACAGACGTTGTGAATGGCACAGAAGAAATTCTCCATGAAAATTAGTCTTTGCTTCGTCTTTTTTGACACTCTCAAATCCAGCAAAGAAAGAGATGGGGGGCTCAATTCACAACAACACTTTCATTGTTATATTCATCATCAAACAGAAACGCACAGTTTAAATATTGAGCTACCAAGGGTAGTGAGATAATTTGGGACGAGACAGTGTTCCCGGGATTCACCACTGTCTCTCTGATGACAATGCCGGCGGTTTGATCCTTTTCGTCGGAAGTTTATAGATATAAACTTTTCTTGTTAAACCCGTGCATACTAAAAAAAATTGCGTAGCGACTGCCTTCCGATAGCTGCCTTTTGAATAGGAAAAGTAAGTGGTTCTCCTAAGGGATGTTGTGCGGCGCGCGAGACATTCAGAGCCCGGTTTACACCCTGTAAACCGGGTCCCTTAGCGATGGCAGGAGGGGGGGTGACATACCAGATCTCAGCGGCGTGGAGACCTGAGCCCCGGTACGTACTACGGAACCATTCGAGGGCCAATGGGACCAGGAGTCGCATTGAATGGTTCCGTTGCTCAAAATGTACATATCCAATCACGGGACAGTATCAAGTACCGTATCCGCGTGACATGTGACGTCCAACGAGGTCAACTGATCTGAGGCTTCTTTTCAACTTATTTTTTCTCGACTTGTGCATACAGAGTACGAAAGCAAGAGGAAGATACCCTCGGCACGGGAAGCATGTTCCGCATCGCGGAAGAATTACACCCTGATGACAAATGCCTCTCTTTCGCGGCCATGTTCAGGAAAGCTTGGCCAAAAGCTTTGTGAGCAACCTTTAAATTTTTCGTCTTGTACCTCTGAACCCAGAACCCCTGTTTAAAATCCAGACCCAAGCCAAAACTCCGTTTAAGTTCTACACTGACATCAGTGATAAGAAAACGTTACCCCACGGCCATGCAAGACACTACCCTTGAGTACTGTATTGATGTGAGCAAATACGTCAAAGAAAGGTGCCCGAATTGATGTTCCTATTAAACAGGGCATTACTTTATTTCATATATAAATGTGGGGCTCAAATGAGGCAGGTCTCTTCTGCACAGACACTATGATATCTCACAAGACGGAAACATTTCTTTGGAATAGTAAGGAATTTTCGGTGAGCGAAATGCACACTGTTCACTGTCTTCTCTCCGTCTCCATTTATTTGGCATCCACGGCTGCTCCCCCTCCATGCACCCCGCTCCGTCTGTCGTTTGACGCACCATGTCTGTACTTTGTTGGGAGCAACCACAAGGGGCGACATAATAGATAACTTGCGAGGTTTTTATTGATTCAGGGAGATACATACATTGCTGGACTACAGTACCGACAGCAATGAATCATATGTGGATCCCAAGTGTAACGGCAGAGGGAGAATAACGCCATGCCACTCGATCCAGCTGCAGACGGGTAGCATAAGAAGCAAACGGATAGCTGGAAGGCATTTCGGGCAACTGGAAAGTGCTACGAGGCTCTGGAACGGAAAAGCAAATTGCATGGATATCGGATATATAAGGCTTTTAGGTAACTCTACAAAAAACACTCAGCGGTAGATCCCCCCGAGAATTCCTCTGTACTCAGTCACCAAGTAGGCCTGAGTGCGGTAGGAACAAGGAGGTGAACAGTAAACTCTATCAGTCCAAACATTGGCAGTGAATCAAAGCACAGCAGAACAGTATTCCCCCTTTCGACTGCGTTTAGGTTTTTCGTCAGGTTCGACAATAGTCTGAACATCACCGTCATCTTTCACATCGCGGTTTTTTCTAGTTTTTTTTTTTTTTTTACCGTACCCTCCCCTTTGAAAGTACACAAGTGTCGGGTTTCCTCGATTAGCGATGATACGAACACACAAACCCCAGAAATATTTGAAGAGCTGCATAACTGCATGACTCGGATGTTGAGTCAGTAAAGAACAATACCGGACGTTGGTATTTGCTGGTCACATATTTCAGAGTATCTACAAAAAAGACCACGTAATAAACAGATACTGTAATAATATCAGTGCTCTGCCAAAAGCCTGTCCAAATGAGGTAGAAAAGTACAGTACAGGGGGGTCTCTTAATTAGTGCACTTTTAGTTAGTGCATATTGGACTTTAATGCACCCTCTGATAGCTTGGCACGACTTTGTACAGGTGTACACGTATGTTCACGGGAGCACAATGGTCGTCGCCGTCCGTAGAGAGCGGGTTCCATTCTTTTACAGATCCCAGCAACCTTATGCATCTTCGAACAACGAATCACACAATGAGCACAACTGAACCAGCATCCAGGGCGTCAAGAACCCGCCTTACCCTTTCGCAAAAAGAGGAGGTGCTGCGGCGACTTTCACAGGGTGCTCGGCACGTCGATTTGCAGCGTGATTTCAACTGCTCTCCAAGAACGATATGCAACATCTTGCTAAGCGAACGTTGAGCCGTGTCTATAATGAACACACGAAGCGTCAGCGACGGCAGACGCTGTTAACGGAACATTTCGTTGCCCCGTAAACTACTTTTTAGCGAGCCCTTTAGATAAAGCACATTGAAGATAGTGCACAAAGAATGCGCATGGCACGGGGGTGCACCAATTGAGGGGGTCGCCTTTATATCATTTTTGAATAAGTTCCGGTGGACTCATACAGTACCCAAGGGTACAGTATTGCGCATAAAATATTCATTTCAAATGCGGTGAATGCAATTTTTTTATAGGGACAGATTTTCTCCAGAATTTGTCGTTTAACGAGTAGCTGCCTCATCCATGCATTCCATTCATGGCAATGTGGCACTGCCGCCATCTACCCTTGGGTAACCCCCTCCCACTTCCCAAGTTGTGAGTTTCGGCTTAATTGTCATACCGCACCGGGAGGTGTTTTCGTCAAGGTGACAGTTATCCCGATTTGTGGACGGCCCGTACGACCATGCACTATGCCCACTGACGAGTTTGACAAGGCCGTCGCCATATGTTTCTTCTGGGAAATGTAAACATGCCCGTCTAGCTAGATAGCACAACCTTCTAGATTGGCCATCATACCTTTCTCGACTTCCTTAGGATGTGCCTTCTGTAGCTATGTAGGGAAACGGGAGCAAAAGTCCATTTGCAAAAAATGACAGCGGGGAGAATAATGAGCTCAAAGATTGATTTTTGTCATTTTGATATCCTTGAGAGATACCCAAGGGTACAAGTACGTACGCACCAGAGAAAAAGAGTCGCGCTATGGAAGACAGACATTCACGTATTTTTTGGCACTGTGCTTTTTCAGGTATGTCGCACTACAGTATTATTGGACACTTGTCATGCCTTCCAAGCTATCTATTGGCCACTGAATGTCAAGTGTCCCCCCTCTTTGGTGACGAAAACTCATCGTCCTTGTCATCGGTAAGGCAGCTCCGGAGACGCACCCTGCGTTTAAAGCAGAAACGCAGGGTGCGTCTCCAGAGCTGCTGTTGAAACTTTCAACGACTCCCCAAGGTTTAAAGCAGAAACGCAGGGTGCGTCTCCAGAGCTGCTGTTGAAACTTTCAACGACTCCCCAAGCCTGTCACGAAGCATTCATATACGCGGCAGCATCAAGGCGGCCCGATCCCCCATCTGGTTACGAGAACCCTCTTAGCCCTGGAGAGTCATCCACCCACCCACAACATAACGGCAGGCCCCAAGCACACGGCTCGTCAAACCTCTTCTTCATCCGCGCAGCTAACGGAGGTGCTGTTCCCTTTTCCTCCTTCGTCACGTGCTAGCTACCTCGCGCTAGCTAGCCCCTCCTGACTCCGAACGCAAGCCGATATCTTCATCCCACCAGCAGTCTCCGTCCAAGGAGCAGCATTCTCTTGGAGATAGACAGTTCAAGCAATTGAGGTGAGGGGATGGCCTTATTTCAGCAATACATCGACAAGAACGGCCACCCATATCTCGTCGTGGATTATGACGACCCAACCCACTTTGTCAACGCTTCAAGCAATCTTGACATCCACCCATTTCTAACTGATACCTACATCGTGAAAAGGCTCACTTCCAGCCCGTTTCAAACGGACTTAACCGAAAACAGGGACGACGTCATTATCGCCTTCCTCTCTCTCTTTCTCATACTCATCATCGAAGCATCAGCCTCCGCTTTTCTTCTTCGGACAAACAAGGGAAGGGTTGGCGTCTTCGGCTTTTCGGTTAAGTACGTCATCGAACTTATTCAAGACTTCAACATGCACCGTCTTTTTCAGCGGAAGACCAATTCACAAAGGCATCTAAAACTCAATGCGCGGCTACTGATATTTGCTCTGTCCATCCTCTCACTGGTGTTTTTCGTGGAAGTTGCAATCATCTTCCTCACCAACCCCGAGCTGAGATCTGTTTCTAACGACAAGGTTAGCTTTCGGATTTTACAGCCTGTCATGATCTCTCCAAATCAAGTTTACTTTCACGTCCGCACCTCAGCGAATAGACCTTGCGAGTCAGCCACCTTGGTGGGTGTTCATCAGGGTGCAACACGAATCAACACTTGCGTCACCATGGAGACTGCAAACAGAACCATAGAATTTATTGACGTCGAATACAGTAAATCCGTCACAGTTGAAATCACCACAGACATCCATGACTATGGAGCCGAGCACGAACTGAGGATCGGTGATTTGAGCGCAAAGTATTCTGCGAGGGCATACTTCACCCTGCATGACGGGAAGATGCGTTTGATGAAGAGCATTTCGCAATCGAAGCACGAGAAGAAACAGGTTGAGGCTGTCCACAAACAATTCGTAGGTGCCATGTTCAGTGCTGTGATAAGAGCGAAGAATGACAAGAACGGCGCGGATTTTCTGGACCAAGTCAATAGAATCAATTGCAGCTCAACTGAAATGGAGGGTCGGGACATTGAGGTTCTCCAATCGGAGCAAAAGTCTCACACGGTCAAGACAAGACGGTATAATTCCACCATGAAAGGAGTGATGCCCAGTGGCTTATATGCAATTCAAATGGCGCATAATGTTTTTAAGGGGAGCTCAGCTGTAGTCCTACACGGCGGTGACACGCAGGACCTTTTCCTGAAGGAGGGATTGCAGTCTCAGAAAAGTGTCGTGTGGGGTGAACCAGTGCGAAAATTAAACTGGTTGTCCCTGCTGATTGTTTGTTTGGCATGCCTTTTTCTGCAAATTCCGCTTCACTTTCTCCTGAAGCCGATATCAACCGCATACATTGCCGGACTATGGGCGAAGCATAAGGTTGGGGCAGAAATGGAGCGTTCGCCGATCGAAGTGAGCAGAAATGAAAGAAAGAGATTTCGGCTTTACCCGGAACGCAACAACAATGGATATTTGTACAGAGCAGAAAGCAAAGGCATGGGGATTGATCTTCCCGAACACTATTGATTGCTTCCCTGCCGAAGTCATGGGATAGACGAAAATGTACATACGTATACGATGGGGGTGCCCTAGAACTGCAAAACGTATCGTTGCTGTCCCAGTAATAAAGCACAGAAGTCATTTATCTCTTTTGCTGCCCCACGACTGAACTAAGGTGATGGGGATGGTAACTGCCAAATCGTGAAAGATGTCGCCCAAAAAATTAGCATGGCACTCTCTTGTCACACAACCCCCTTGGACCCCTGAATGCAGAACAGAAGAAGGGCGGTAATTCGTGAAAAATATCATCTTTATATTGCTGTGATTCTTCACTGAAGGCACAACTAATAACAAAACGTTAGGTCGTCGAGGGGATGTTAGGAAGCGATTGGTTTTCGGCATTTTCTCCGCAAAAAAACAAGGGCACCGTGTTGATGCATAGAAACATGGTAAAATCGTGAAACGGGCGATTTAATTAGACGGGGTGTTTCGTCAATGGACATGTTCTAGTTGTGAGAAACGGGCACAATAACCCGAAGACGTCGGCTTGGGCCATTTGTACTCGATTCAGTTGAGTGTGTGTAGAAGTTGATCGGATGTTGTGGGTTTTCCTCCTTTCTCAACTGCTGTACCCCAAGGGTACGGTATGTGAAACCCCTCTATGCTAGTTGCGTGCATGAAATAAACTTGCCTTCACAAGCTGGTATGTGTCACAAATAATTGCTTCGCTGTAGTCATTATTCCATATTCTGTGGCGAACTGTGACCGACAAGTACCCTTGGTACAGTACCCTTGTAACATGCGCTTTCATCTCACCCGTTCAGGAATACTCTGTAGTTTGTTGATAGACATACTGTAGTTTCTAGTAGAAACTACAGTGAACCCTCCCCATACTGTAGAAAGTTTCTACAGTATGCTAGTGTAATGGATGGAAAACCTTATATCTTAGGAGTGATTTCATCAC